AAAACGGATGAAACATTATAGAAATCGTCACTGTTTGATCAAGATATCCATGAGATTCCCGATTGCAATCCATTCTACAATATGAAAAGCTACAAACTCAATTCAATGGCTCCCCATCAAGATCAGCCTGTGCTGCTGCATTACCGTTTCCCAGATCATTCGTGTCTACTTGATTATCATCGTGTGTATCAGTTGTTTGTTGATCATTGGAATTAGTAGCTGCACTAGTATCGTTCAAACCAGATGTACCAGCACCTGTTGCATCACTTTCATTGCTTGTAACCTTCTTCTTGATCCTAAATTTACCACTGTCAATGTCGGCAAGCCAGTGACGTCGAGCTCTTGCATTCATGCCATTGAAACCAAGGGAAAACTCCTCGGGGGTCATCTCTGAGTCATCATCACGCTCAACAATAATCGGTATTTTGCGATCGGTGATGGCCCAGACAGGATCGGGGACACGGGGAAAGCCATGAGCAGGGTGATACCCGATGAGATCATCTAGGGAACAAGGTATCATCAGCCCACACGTTGAATGAAGTGAAAAGCTGAGGTATTGACGTACCAACCATTTTGTTCAATAGCCCACCTAGTTTCTTCTTATCTTGGTCGGATTTATTTGGTGGTTTAGGATCATTGGGTTTGGCTTTGGCTGCCACAGTATTCACCTCTTCAATGGTAGCCCGATGCTGACAGTATAAGGGAAACACCTCTTGCAGGTTAGCCTTGGTCGAAACCCACGTAGATATCTCGTCACGACTCGTATACTCCCGACACCATCCACCACCTACAGTTGTATTACTACAGGCGATAAGATAATATTCTAGGCCAACTAGTTGATGGTCCCGCGCAAGCTGGAAAGAAAGTTAGTAAGCAAAATTAATCTGATGGTTTCTTCTCAGATAGAATAGCCATTGAAGGACTTACATGCTGTGCTATCTTTTTGATACATTGTAGCGAGCGTTTCTCTTCTTTTCGAGATGAGTTGCTGGGTGTATTCAGCTCGCGGTCCCTGGTGACCTTATCCTGATCGACAAGTCGGTTATAGATAGGACGGTACAGTTCTTCTTCCTCAGGAGCCAGCTTAGGAACTTCTGGAACTAGTATTTCAGAGTCTCCGTGTACATTATCCTCCGGTATAACTATTGAAGAGTAGTCTGGGTAACCTCCGAGGGAGAAGAAGATTTCGGCTGTGAAAACATCGAGTTCTTCGTCTTTGAGAGCTTGATAAGCCTTCGAATTAGCTTGATTGCGGATCGTGAGAAGCTCAGAGGAGTTTGGAGACCCTCTAGGAGGCACTGGAAAAGATGCAAGATTGGTGTTCAACTACAAAATTCTATAAAGACCGTAAAAATGACTCACTTGGATGTTTATTGGCCTCAAGTGCAAAAGACAGCCACCGATGCCACGTGTTTTCGGCGTGACTTCCTCCCTTCAAGCCCCTGTGATGCCAATACAAAATGGTCATGTAAGTGAAGGTGTTATAGGTAGTGTAATTTTGTTTAAACTTACAATGAGCGCTTCAAATTGTCTATGTCGACTCCTGAAATCATAGCAATCATATGAAGACTATGGTCAAGACTAGCCATGAGTGCTTGTCCTTCGGTGATTACGGCTGCGCTGATCTGGTGGTTTGTGGTTTTCTGCTTATCTAATTGCTCTTGGATGCGTCCGATGGGCCAGTAGTTCTTGACCTGACTCGGTAGTTTTGTAAAGTGATCTTGCTGAGTGGTATATCAGTGTTGATAGTGGCACTGTTAGGGTGGGATGGGTTTGGTTGAGTATTGTTTGTATTTTGAAGCAGTTGTTGAGCGGTTAGACAGGGTAGGTTGAGCACCATCACC